ACACACACACACACACACACACACACACACACGCTCACACATACAAGTATATATATATATTTTTTAAATGGAATAGCAGGAAGCAAATTTTCAGCTTCTGAAAGTTTATTTAAACCAGAACCGGAGCTGTTTTTTTTGTAGTTATTAGTAATAAGATTACAAAACCGTGGCTCTCAAAGCCAATATTTCAGCTAAATAATCAGAAAAAATATGTGTCTCTGTCATAAATTTATAAGACAAAACATTAGTTTTAAATTAAGTTAAGAAGCTAATAGATATATAAGCAAAGAAAGTCACATTTCTTGTAAAATTAGTTTTATCAAGCTGTTTTGCAGCTTCAGCAAATGATGTGTCAAAATATATTCCAGGTAATTACTGTTGACAGCGAAGTGCTTCCGCACTCTGAAACACTGAAACAAACGCAGAGCTATTATTTTGATAATTATATTGTTGTGAAGAATCAGATCCCCGTCTCACGGCGAAGAAGAAGACAAACCTCAGGGATTTAATATGAGCAGAAACACTAAGCACTGTAAATGTGACTGCTTTCAGAGCGTCTGAGGCGTGTGTCATAAATCTGAGGAGTTTTTAGGGCTGGTACAGACGGTTATTTCTCACACTGACAGCAGTGCACAGCTTTTATAACCACAGCGGAGACGAGAGCCGCTCCAGAACTCTGCTAAGCAGCTCTGCCGAACAGCACTTAACCCAATAACTAATATGACAACCTGAGCAGAGTCATTACGACCGGCCTCATGATTCAACACCGTCCCTGCATCGCTCTCCGAGAGAGATCACACTGATCACAGATCAGCAGAGCCAAGAGACACAAAACTGCATCACATTCACTGCAAAACTGATCGTGTGCTTCACTAGAACACACTATTTTAAATCAGTTAAAATAATTATATTACATTACATTACATTATATTATATTACTTTTGACCAGTAGTGCACAGTATTTGACAGATAAAGAGCAGTTAATCATAAATAATATATATATATATATATATATATATATATATGTGTGTGTGTGTGTGTGTGTGTGTGTGTGTGTGTGTCCACTACCGGTAAAAAGATATATACGATAATATAATAAAATTATATTGTATTATTTTAATAGTAAGAGAATACTATTAAGATTTTTAAATGTTTTTGAGTCTCTACTGCTCACTAAGTCTGCATTTATTTGATCAAAAATACAGTAAAAATTAATAAAATAAAATTAGTCATTTAAAAGTAGTAAAAGTAATAAAATTAAAATAAAAAAATGTATATATTTAAAATAAAATTTTTCTATTTTAATACATTTTCATCAATATATTTACAGTCATTATAGTTAACTAAAAATATAATTAAAAATTTTTAAATTTTACTAGAAATAAAATAAAAGTTAACTGATATAATATAATATAAAAAAAAAACATTTTATTTTAGTTAACTGCCAATACAACATTTCTTATTTTTCATTTGTTTAAACTGATGTACTAAAATAATTCAAGCTGAAATTAAAATTTATTTAAAACTATGTATACATAAAAACATAATAAATATGACAACAACTAAAAATTACTCAAACTTTAACTAAAATGAAAAAAACAAGCAAACAGAAAATATAAAAATGAAAAAGAACGTACAGAAGGAAGAATAGACATTTTTAAAAAGACAAAAAAAATGACAAAACACGACAAAATTACTAAGACTAAAATTAAAATAAATAAAACAGAAAAAGATAAAAATGTAAAAGAATAGAACATTCAGACAGAAAACAGCTATTTTAAATTGTAAAGGTATTTCACGTTTTTACTGTATTTTATCAAATAAATGCAACCTTGGTGAGGATTAAAAAAAAGCAATTATTCCAAACTTTTGAATGTATACTACCAAATGATCCTGAGTTTTTGTTTAAAATGAACATGAAATGCATTCACAATCTAATGCATTTGCTTCTGTGACATTTTTCTAAGTGAAACATGATATTTAATGAGAAGAAATGCAAGATGGGATTTCTTTCTTGATCACGTGACCCGGTCAGACACCGATGACAGCTGTATGTCAGGTGGTTGGTTGTGCTGAAAAATAAGAGAGAAATGAAAGTGCTGTCACATTTTCAGACTTATAATCACTTTTCATGCAATAGAAGACTCTTACCGGCTTGCTGAAATCAACACTGCGCTGCTTTCTTTATTAGTCTGGGCTGTAGGTTTTGGTTGAGTCGTCCCGTCAGTCGTGTCGATGAAGGCCGGCTGTTTTCCTCATCAAGGGCACTAAATCTCTGAATGAGACGCCGCTCGGGTTAATGGAATTAACCTGTTAAAATGTCCTAAAAGCTGCGTAAAAACAGGTGTAGATGACGGTGACCTGCAGTCATTCTGGAATTAAAGCGACTTCAAACTCAGCAGATGCTGAGAACAATATCAAATGCAAATAACTGTTTTTGAAATTGAAAATAATTAATCCAAACATTAATATGTACAAATAATTTCACTGATTAATCACATAAAAATGCTCAATTTTTGTCATAAAAAAGGAGAAGCTTCCAACTGTAAAGTGATGTAACTCGTGAAGGATCTTATGTTGCTGTAAATGCGACTTAACAACTAACTGATGATAAAATTAATTTAGTACTGTTTTTTTTATATATATATATATACAGTATAATTATCAATTTGTATCAGCTCAGTTTAGTCATTGCAGCCCTAGACCATAAAGTCAATGCATGCAACTCATGCAATTTTAATGTTTGCATACACACAAGGATACTGGAAAATTACTTCTTAGACTTAGAAATTATACACATTTTTTTATATATATATTTTACTTATGTATTTTAAATACATTATTATTGTTATTATATATAGAATTTTGTTTGCTTACCTTTGACATCTGCATGGAGCGTGGCACCAACAACATCAAGGTTGAATATTATTTATGTAACTTTTTAATATATATTTAAATGTTCATATTTTTTGCTTACTTTTGAGACCTGAATGATTACTAATGTGAGATGAATCTACTGTGAGATATCTTTATTTAGCTCAACTGGTAATGCACGGCATTAGCAACACCAGAACTATTAACAGACTATTTATATTTATTAATATATATTTATTTATATATACAGGTGCATCTCAATAAATTTGAATGTCGTGGAAAAGTTCATTTATTTCAGTAATTCAACTCAAATTGTGAAACTCGTGTATTAAATAAATTCAATGCACACAGACTGAAGTAGTTTAAGTATTTGGTTCTTTTAATTGTGATGATTTTGGCTCACATTTCACAAAAACCCACCAATTCACTATCTCAACAAATTACATAAGTAGTAAAACATTTTTAGTGAATTGTTGGCCTTCTGGAAAGTATGTTCATTTACTGTACATGTACTCAATACTTGGTAGGGGCTCCTTTTGCATGAATTACTGCATCAGTGCGGCGTGGCATGGAGACAATCAGCCTGTGGCACTGCTGAGGTGGTATGGAAGCCCAGGTTGCTTTGATAGCGGCCTTCAGGTCATCTGCATTGTTGGGTCTGGTGTCTCTCATCTTCCTCTTGACAATACCCCATAGATTCTCTGTGGTGTTCAGGTCAGGCGAGTTTGCTGGCCAGTCAAGCACAGTAACACCATGGTCATTTAACCAACTTTTGGTGCTTTTGGCAGAGTGGACAGGTGCCAAGTCCTGCTGGAAAATGAAATCAGCATCTTCAAAAAGCTTGTCAGCAGAAGGAAGCATGAAGTGCTCTAAAATTTCCTGGTAGATGGCTGCGTTGACTGTGGACTTCAGAAAACAGTTACTGTTATGCAGATGATACTCAACTATATTTCTTCGCGGCCCAGCGAAACATACCAATTTGGAAAACTAACAGAATGCATAGCCGATATAAAAAACTGGATGATTAGTAATTTCTTACTGCTAAATTCTGAAGAAAAAAAAAACACAGAGGTGTTAATTATAGGACCTAAAAACTCTGCATGTAATAACCTAGAACACTGTCTAACACTTGATGGCTGCTCTGTCAATTCTTCGTCATCAGCTAGGAACCTAGGTGTGCTATTTGATAGCAATCTTTCCTTCGAAAACCACGTTTCTAGCATTTTTCCATCTCAAAAATATATCTAAATTGCGACCTATGCTCTCAATGTCAAATGCAGAAATGTTAATTCATGCGTTCATGACCTCAAGGTTAGATTATTGTAATGCTTTATTGGGTGGTTGTTCTGCACGCTTAATAAACAAACTCCAGCTGGTCCAAAATGCAGCAGCTAGAGTTCTTACTAGAACCAGGAAGTATGAGCATATTAGCCCGGTTCTGTCAACACTGCACTGGCTCCCTATTAAACATCCTATAGATTTTAAAATACTGCTAACAATTAAATGCATGACAAAAAAAATTTATACTGGAACACAGAAGAACACTAAACACTGAAAAGGGCCAGAGCTACAGAACGTGAATAATGAAAATGATTTATTGACTGTGAACATTTGAATTGAAAAGCACAGAAACACATTATCACTCAGCAGGACTCACACACACACTGACCTTACTGTCTATATGAGGATTTATTACACACATTTATTCAGACATGCTACTTCAGTGACAGAAGTTCAGCTGCAGTATTAATGTCATGAAGAGAAAAGAAGAGACTCTACACTGTAAAATCGAATAGTGTACCTTATTTAGATATAATTAATTATCTTTAATTGTTATACTTACTAGGTTTTAATAAGTTGCAGCTAATTTCAAGGCGAATAAAACAATTTACTTACTGCTTTGAGTGACGCTTACTTAAAATATTCAAGTAGCCACAAAGGAACCAATGACATTAACACACCAGTGAGAGGCAGCCGTGCACTAATATGCTGTTAATGTGCAACAAAACAAATGAAGAAGAAACAAGGAAGGTTAGAGCATGTGCAACAAGCTTTTTTTCTTTCTTTTGTTGCCATTTTGTCAAGAAAAAAAATTTTTTTGAGGCGGCACGCTATTCTTAATAGACTTTTCACTCATTTCCTCCACTTCTGCAGTAATCTTTCTCTAGTTGCATTCACTCTTTTCCCAAAGTAATCTTGAATGTTAAATTGTCAATACAACTGAAAATTTTGGAGACAACATCACATAAGGTGACTTCATAAATGAATGTTGATTTTCTTAAATGCTTTTGTGTGAACTCACCGTCAGGGTGATTAGTGTTCCCTTTGGTTGGCCACTTGGAACTTTCTCTTCTTGTTGATACAGTGATGCAACATGAAATCAGTTATTTGGTTACAAGCAAAGATAAATAATAAATAGGTTGTTTTAAATAGGTGACCTAACTTTTACAATTTTATTGCTAACATTTTTCATGAACACCTTGTTAAGCTTTTTATTAGGTTGATGTAATCCTTCAATATTGGTGACAATATCTTGCAATCGACCCGCTCGAGTCAAACACAGACTTCAACATTCAGCGTGCAAAACACAACAATGGTAGCAATTACATTTTATTCATTTTTATTGTAAAAATAAAAAAAAAACATATTTGCTCTTTTTGTTGCGCTACTACTGACACAAAACAGCAAATAAAATTGTCAGCAAAAAAAAAAGTAAAACAAAGCAATTGCATAATATATTCATGCCGCAATGCAGTAATTCTGAGTATCTGTACTAAGTCAAGAGTACATGTAAGGTTAATTATAAAGTACTCTCTACAGTACTTTTTTAGTTACTAGAACTCTGGTGTAAGTGAGTTATAGTAACTAAGCATTTGTCAGTTCAACATAATATTCCTATTTCACTTCTTCAGTTGGTTTGCATGTTTTTTTTTAAAAGTAAGCCTTACTAATTAGATTTTACAGTGTATAACATATCACCGTTACTGATTTACCATGCAGCTCAAAGCATTATGGGTATAATCTCTCGTCAATCAATTCTGAGTCATCAACACAGTTCCACTGATGATCGTGTAGAAACCCAAAACCCAGCATAGAGCGGCTGAGTGAATGTGGTCTCAACTGTGTGGATGAGGCTCATTGTGTCAGAGACGCTGTAGAAGGACAGAGTTCCTGCACTGTGATCCACAAACACTCCTATTCTGCTGCTGATGGACTTTACAGGGAGATGAGTCACTATCTTATTGTGTATGAATGAGTAACTCGGGGGAGTGCAGTCCAAACCCCAGGACTCCTCATTATATCCAAACTTACTCTCATAACCCCGTCCCTTCCTGCCGATGCTCTTATATGACACTGACATACGCACTCCATGATGACCTCCACTCCACTGCAGCTCCCAGTAACAGCGTCCACACACACTCTCTCTACACAACACCTGACGAAACTCATCAAATCTGTCTGGATGATCAGGATATGGCTGCTCTGTTCTACTGCCAGTAATCACTCTGTTGCTCTCAGACAGATGGAGGCGTTTATATGCTGTGTTTGGATCCAGAGTGAGCTGACGGGAATCTGATGGAGATAAAAACACATCAGAATCAGGAATTATGAATCTGTTTGATCTTTTCATGCAGTTGAACTCTTCATGTTCAGTGCATCATCAGTGTCTCAGTACAAATGACCAGATATGCTGTGCAAATCATCATTTACATCAATTATAAAACTCTTCTTTCACCTTCTACAGGAAGAACATGAACACACTCAATGAGTTTTTCTGCTTGTTTTCTTACTGACTTACATTGTAGGAAGTCGTTCCTGGTTCTGGGAACAATGTTGGTGAATGTGACTGTGGAAATCAACAGACATGAACAGTGTGATTCTCATGATCCTGCATCCATTCCTAAGACATTTCTAATATGATGTTCTCCATGATATGAGATGATGATGGACTGGTTTCTGAGAGCAGATGAATCTCCAGGACTTTACCTCTGTCTGAGATCTTCTTGAGCTCCTCTTTGCAGAAATCCTCCAGTTTGTCTCTCAGCTGATGGACATATTCTCTCAGATCATCAGAAGAGAAGAGAGAACTGAAGGGATCGTCATTTACGTCTGTAGATTCAGGAGGTGCTGAGAGAGACTGGAAACTCTACAGAAAACAAATCAAAACTCATCAGCTTCACACTTCACCCAATAACCTAAACGAACATCAGATTTGAGTGGCTCTTGTTGACTTGACTGATCTTTAGTAGCTCACCTCAATCCAGCAATTTCACAGCATCAGCTTCATTCTTCTCATATATTACATTAGAGCTACTGATTCTAGTATTTGCCCCTTACACTGTATGTGAACTTTCTAGAAAATAGTTTGGATGAAAAACATCTGCCAAGAACATAAATGTCCATCTAACAGCTCAAGCACATCAATGGAGTCTCATTGTAGGGTTGAGTAGATTTGCTAAAAAAAAAGCAGCTCAAAGACTACAATTAGACTGACCATTATTTATAACTTTAGAGTAGTTAGTGACACTAAAACAAGGTGCTACAAATAATGCAGTGTTTGATTTTGCATAAAATTGTGCAATCGCAGAATCAAGAAATCCTGAAGTGACTGAACAATGCTTCAGCACATTGAAACCAAACAGAGCCTGACCATGTCTTAAAGGCATAGTTCACCCAAAAATGAACATTTTCTGTTAATTTACTCACCCTCTGGCCATCCAACATGTAAGTCATTTTTCTTTCTTCAGTAGAGCAGTAAAGAAGATTTTTAGCTGAAACCGTGGTCTTTAGTGATTCATAAAATGCAAGTCAGCAGCTTCCCGTCTTTGAGAATAATAAAAAAAGCATATCCAGGAACACAAAATTAATACCTGTGAACTCATTCAGCGCTCCAGTTCCTCCAACAGTCACTGAACTGAGGAAACAGTTCGACTGAAGACCGATAAGCTGCTGATATGTGCATGCATGAACCGAACACTTGAATGAAGGGAAGAAATGAATGTTTTTTATGGTTTCTCATTGTTTATGTAAAAAGGTGAGAGACTAGTTTATTCACTTTATATGCTCTAGACATAAGACATCCATGTTTCACATCATTACTGGGTGCTTTAATATTCTAATTGTGTGTACATTACGTCATTGCGTGATTATGTAAACGAACAAGTAAAGTGAACCGGTTCATTGAAATGAACTGTCTGAGAGAACTGGATTTCCATGTTGCCTGAGGGTCTGGATTACCAGTAATAATGATCAGTTTCTTGTGCAGACAGATCGTTACGCTTCATAAGACCGCAATATATTGTAAGGAGACACGCATATTCATTTTGTGTTTCCTGATTTGCTTTATTTTTATTCTCAAAAATGTGCAGCCACTGACTTGCTTTATATCTGTCACAATCTCCAGCTGGAGTGCCCATGAGCTCCTTTAGAGGGCACTCCATCCTTTACCTTTACCTTCTCACCCCAGATCTCGGACCTTCACCTTCTCACCCAATCCCTACTCCATTGTCACATCGCCCGTAACAGAAGACTCAACCATGCCTGGATCCAGCAGCTTTTCGAGTGTTTCCAGGCCAATCATGGACCCAGCAATCAGGTTAGTTTGCCTTCGCCAGGGAATGCATTCCTTTGAGGACCACATTCAAGACTTTCTGAGCCCAGAGCCTCCAGCTGTCATGGATGTCACGCCACAGTCTTCAGCCCTCATGGCCAAAGACATTTGGGGCTGATTTCCAGTTTGGCGGACCCACCGTTGGTTTTGGCTGGTTAAGCCATCCTGTGTGGTTGGGCTACACACTGCACTACTACTCCTCCTGAGCCTGCTCCAGTCCATGAATCCACTCCAGAACCTGCTCCGTTCTGTGGGTCTGGTCCGGAGCCCGCTCCAGTCCATGAGTCTGTTCCAGCTCCTCCCGAGGTGATGGCCTCTGCTGCAAAACCTCCCGAGTCTGTGGTGTCCACTTCAGCTCCTCTCTGAGCAGTGGCGCCCACTTCTGAACTGTCAACCTGTCCTGTCATGACCAAGGAGGCCATTCCAGAACTCTCTGCTTGCCCTGTTATGGCCAAAGATGCCATCTCTGAACTGTCTGTCTGTCCTGTTACAGCCACAGAGGCCGTTGTTAACGTCTCTGTGCTCTCTATTGCAGTCCTGCCTGATCCGCCGTGGTGGTTTCCTGGACCATCAGCTCCACTGAAGTGGTCCTCAGCACCATCAGCTCCACCATGGGGATCTTCGGTCCCATCTGCTCAGCTGTGGTGGTCCTCATCTCCTCCCTGGTGCTCTTCAGCTCCACCAGCTCCGCCTTTTTGGTCTTCAGCTTCGCCTGCTCTGTCCTGGTGGTCTTCGGCTCGCCCTGCTCTGCTGGCTCTGCCCTGTCTTCCTGCTCTGCCAGCTCCACCCTGGCTTCCTGCTCTGCCGGCTCCACCCTGTCTTCCTGCTCTGCCGGCTCCACCCTGACTTCCTGCTCTGCCGGCTCCGCCCTGGCTTCCTGCTCTGCCAGCTCCGCCCTGACTTCCTGTTCAGCTGGATCCACCCTGGATACCTGCTCCACTGGCTCTGCCTCAGTCTCCAGGTCCTCCAATTCAACAGGGACCTGGCCCTCCATCCCACCCCCTGTTCTGCCTCCGCTCCGCCTCCCTCCTGGACTTCTATGACCCTTTGGGGAGCCTCTGGAAGCCGCTCATTAAGGGGGGGGGGGGGGCTCTGTCATGATCTCCATCCCTTACCTTCACCTTCTCACCCCGGACTCCATTTCCCAGAAACCCCAGCCTAGGAACCGATTACGAACACACCTGTTTCCCATTAGGAGGACTATTTAAGTTGCACTCTCACACTCACACATTACTGAGTTTTGTTTAGCTGTTAAGAGACATTTCTAAGCATTTCCTTGTTTCCTTGCCTTTGTGTTTTTGTCTTTGGATTGTTCCCTGGTTTGTGATTGTTTGCTGCCTGCTCTGACCAATGCTGTTATTTGGATTACTCTTTTGTTTTGCTCTTGGACATAGTTGTTTGACTCTGCCTGTTTCAACTACTCTCTTTAATAAAGCTTGCACTTGGATCCCTTACTCGGTTGTCATGCCGCCCAATCACTAAGGAACTGAGTTTCAGTTAAAAACTAATTATTTGCGACACCTTGAATTTTTGTCTGAAATCCTTGTGGGACTGATTGCTAATATACAGCTTTGAAGATATCTACTTTGAAGATGTCCTGATCCAATTTTTAAAAAGTTGAAAAGTTAGTGAAGTTTTGAACTGTGGCACTAGTTGTGTCCTGTCACTGCAGGATCTCACTCAAGTCCACTATGATCCTATTCTTTTAGATCTCTGTTACCTGCAGGAACTGGCTGTGATCCTGTGTGTGTGAAAGCTGCTCCAGCTCAGCGTCTCTCCTCCTCAGATCATTGATCTCCTGCTCCAGTCGCTCCAGTCGTCCTTCAGCTTGACTCACTTCAGCCTTTTCTTGATCTCTGATATCAGGAATCAGGAGCCGTACCAGCTCAGAGCAGCGTCTCTTAGTGGAGAAGATGAGCTCAGTAAAGATCCTCTCACTGTCCTCCACTGCTGTCTGTGCAGAGCGCTGTTAGGACACACAGTGATTCAGCTTCAGTGGGACTGAAAGAGGAGAGTCTGAACTGAGACAAACTTCTCTTCTTCTCCAGACTCACCTTATGAGACTCCACAGCCTCTCTCAGCTGCTGAAAATCTTTCTCTCTCTGCTGGGACATCTTCTGCATCTCTTTCAGCTGCTTCTGCAGGACAAATGGATGATAGTAAATATTACAGAAAACTACTGGCTCTAAATCATCATGTGAAAAGATGAATCCAGTAAAAGTGGAACTGATAACCAATGGCTGTAGGTTCAAAGTCTAGAAAGGATGATTGATTGTTTACCACCATTGTACACAAATTAACATGGAGATATAAGCTTGTTTCACACCACAAGTGTAAGCGCTAGTTTTAAATACCTGTGTCTCTGTCCTCTGTGCTGCAACTGATACAGAGTCGTGTTTTTTATGCTCATATTTTGTACACAGCTCACAAATGCATTGTTGGTCAGTAATACAGAACATTTCCAGATGTTTCTCATGTTTCTGGCAGATCATCTCCTGCAGTCGTCCAGTGGCATCAATCACTTTGTGTGGTTTACGTGAATGAAACTCCTCATGACGGTCAAAATGAGTTTGACAGTAAGATTCCTAGCTAAAGCAGGTCTTGGACTGAAGGTCTGTCTGCACTGAGGGCAGCTGTAGACTCTCATCTGACCCTCATGATCCCAGCGGTCTGTAATACAGTTCTCACAGTAACTGTGTCCACACTGGATGGTCACTGGATCATTCAGGAGATCCAGACACACTGTACACGAGAGCTCACCCTGAGAAAATCTGACTTCTGCCATTTTACTGCATGAATACAGAGACACACAACAGCTCAACTACACTTTCACTTTCTTTTTCCCTTAAGTCATGTGATTCCTGTTTCCTGGTAGTTTAGAATATGTATAGAGAAATACCCTAACTCCCCCATCAAATAAAAAAAAATCACAGGGAGATGAGTCACTATCTTATTGTGTATGAATGAGTAACTCGGGTGAGTGCAGTCCAAACCCCAGGACTCCTCATTATATCCAAACTTACACTCATAACCCCGTCCCTTCCTGTTGATGCTCTTATATGACACTGACATACGCACTCCATAATCACCTCCACTCCACTGCAGCTCCCAGTAACAGCGTCCACACACAGTCTCTCTACACAACACCTGAGACATATCATCAAATCTGTCTGGATGATCAGGATACGACTGGACTGTTCTACTGCCAGTAATCACTCTGTTGCTCTCAGACAGATGGAGGCGTTTATATGCTGTGTTTGGATCCAGAGTGAGTTGACAGGAATCTGATGGAGATAAAACACATCAGAATCAGAAATTATGAATCTGTTTGATCTTTTCATGCAGCTGAACTCTTCATGTTTAGTGCATCATCAGTGTCTCAGTACAGATGACCGGATATCTCGTGCAAATCATCATTTACATCATCAATTATAAAACTCTTCTTTCACCTTCTACAGGAAGAACATGAACACACTCAGTGAGTTTTTCTGATTGTTTTCTTACTGACTTACATTGTAGGAAGTCGTTCCTGGTTCTGGGAACAATGTTGGTGAATGTGACTGTGGAAATCAACAGACATGAACAGTGTGATTCTCATAATCCTGCATCCATTCCTAAGACATTTCTAATGTGATGTTCTCCATGATATGAGATAATGATGGACTGGTTTCTGAGAGCAGATGAATCTCCAGGACTTTACCTCTGTCTGAGACCTTCTTGAGCTCCTCTTTGCAGAAATCCTCCAGTTTGTCTCTCAGCTGATGGACATATTCTCTCAGATCATCAGAAGAGAAGAGAGAACTGAAGGGATCGTCATTTACATCTGTAGATTCAGGAGGTGCTGAGAGAGACTGGAAACTCTACAGAAAACAAATCAAAACTCATCAGCTTCACACTTCACCCAATAACCTAAACGAACATCAGATTTGAGTGGCTCTTGTTGACTTGACTGATCTTTAGTAACTCACCTCAATCCAGCACTTTCACAGCATCAGCTTCATTCTTCTCATATATTACATTAGAGCTACTGATTCTAGTATTTGCCCCTTACACTGTATGTGAACTTTCTAGAAAATAGTTTGGATGAAAAACATCTGCCAAGAACATAAATGTCCATCTAACAGCTCAGGCACATCAATGGAGTCTCATTGTAGGGTTGAGTAGATTTGCTAAAAAAAAAAAGCAGCTCAAAGACTACGATTAGACTGACCATTATTTATAACTTTAGAGTAGTTAGTGACACTAAAACAAGTCAAACAAACATGACGCTGTATATTATCAATCAGTTTCATCAGGATTTCAAACAAAAATGCAAGGTGCTACAAATAATGCAGTGTTTGATTTTGCATAAAATTGTGCAATCGCAGAATCAAGAAATCCTGAAGTGACTGAACAATGCTTCAGCGCATTGAAACCAAACAGAACCTGACCATGTCTTAAAGGTATAGTTCACCCAAAAATGAACATTTTCTGTTAATTTGCTCACCCCCAGGCCATCCAACATGTAGGTCTTTTTTTCTTCTTCAGTAGAGCAGTAAAGAAGATTTTTAGCTGAAACCGTGGTCCTTAGTGATTCATAAAATGCAAATCAGCGGCTTCCCGTCTTTGAGAATAAATAAAAAGCATATCTAGGAACATGAAATTAATAGCTGTGAACTCATTCAGCACTCCAGTTCCTCCAACAGTCACTGAACTGAGGAAACTGTTCGACTGAAGCTGCTGATATGTGAATGCGTGAACCGAACACTTGAATGTTCGGTTCATGAAAGGGAAGAAATTAAGGTTACACTTTATTTCGATAGTCCACTTTAGACATTCTACTAACTATAAGTAACTTTGTAACTACATGTCAACTAATTCTCATTAATTTGCAAATACATGTCTACTAACTCTCAGAGTAGACTTTTAGGGTAGGTTTAGGGTTAGTAGAATAAGTTGACAAAGAAAGTGTTAGAAGATATTAAGCAGACAGTCTACTAATACTCTACTAACTGCTAGTTGACATGTAGTTGCAAAGTTACTTACTGTTAATAGAATGTCTAAAGTGGACTCTCGAAATAAAGTGTTACCGAAATGAAGGTTTTTTATGGTTTCTCATTGTTTATGTAAAAAGGTGAGAGACTAGTTTATTCACTTTATATGCTCTAGACATAAGACATCCATGTTTCACATAATTATTGGGTGCTTTAATATTCTAATTGTGTATACATTACGCCATTGCGTAATTATGTAAATGAACTAGTGAAGTGAACCGGTTCATTGAAATGACCTTTCGGGCTGATTTCCAGTTTGGAGGACCCACCGCTGGTTTCGGCTGGTTAAGCCATCCTGTGTGTTTGGGCTACACACTGCACTACTACTCCTGAGCCTGCTCCAGTCCATGAATCCACTCCAGAACCTGCTACGGTCTTTGGGTCTGTTACGGAGCCCGCTCCAGTCCATAAGACTGCTCCAGCTCCTCCCAAGGTGACGGCCTCTGCTGCAAAACCTCCCGAGTCTGTGGTGTCCACTTCAGCTCCTCTCTGAGCAGTGGCGCCTACTTCTGAACTCTCAACCTGTCCTTTCACGACCAAGGAGGCTGTTCCTGAACTCTCAGCTTGTCCTGTTATGGCCAAAGATGCCGTCTCTGAACTGTCTGTCTGTCCTGTTACAGCCACAGAGGCCGTTGTTAACCTCTCTGTGCTCTCTATTGCAGTGCTGCCTGATCAGCTGTGGTGGTCTCCTGCACCATCAGCTCCACTAAAGTGGTCCTCAGCACCATCAGCTCCACCGTGGGGATCTTCGGTCCCATCTGCTCAGCTGTGGTGGTCCTCATCGCCGCCCTGGTGCTCTTCAGCTCCACTAGCTCCGCCCTTTTGGTCTTCAGCTTCGCCTGCTCTGTCCTGGTGGTCTTTGGCTCGCCCTGCTCTGCTGGCTCGGCCCTGTCTTCCTGCTCTGCCGGCTCCACCCTGGTTTCCTGCTCTGCCGGCTCCACCCTGTCTTCCTGCTCTGCCGGTTCCACCCTGGCTTCCTGCTCTGCAGGCTCCGCCCTGACTTCCTGCTCTGCCGGCTCCACCCTGTCTCCCTGCTCTGCCGGCTCCACCCTGTCTCCCTGCTCTGCAGGCTCCGCCCTGACTTCCTGCTCTGCTGGCTCCGGTGGCTCCGCCCTGTCTTCCTGCTCTGCCGGCTGCACAATCTCCATCCCTTACCTTCCCCTTCTCACCCCGGACTCCATTTCCCAGAAACCCCAGCCTTGGAACTGATTACGAACACAACAGTTTCCCATTAGGAGGACTATTTAAGTTGCACTCTCACACTCACACATTACTGAGTTTTGTTTAGCTGTTAAGATACATTTCTAAGCATTTCCTTGTTTCCTTGCCTTTGTGTTTTTGTCTTTGGATTGTTCCCTGGTTTGTGAATGTTTGCTGCCTGCCCTGACCAGTGCTGTTATTTGGATTACTCTTTTGTTTTGCCCTGGGACATAGTTGTTTGACCCTGCCTGTTTCAAGTACTCTCTTTAATAAAGCTTGCACTTGGATCCCTTACTCGGTTGTCATGCCGCCCAATCACTAAGGAACACAGTTTCAGTTAAAAAAAAAATTATTTGCAACACTGATTGCTAACATGCAGCTTTGAAGATATATACTTTGAAGATGTCCTGATCCAATTTTTAAAAAGTTAAAAAGTTAGTGAAGTTTTAAACTGTGGCACTAGTTGTGTCCTGTCACTGCAGGATCTCACTCAAGTCCACTATGATCCTATTCTTTTAGATCTCTGTTACCTGCAGGAACTGGCTGTGATCCTGTGTGTGTGAAAGCTGTTCCAGCTCAGCGTCTCTCCTCCTCAGATCATTGATCTCCTGCTCCAGTCGCTCCAGTCGTCCTTCAGCTTGACTCACTTCAGCCTTTTCCTGATCTCTGATATCAGGAATCAGGAGCCGTACCAGCTCAGAGCAGCGTCTCTTAGTGGAGAAGATGAGCTCAGTAAAGATCCTCTCACTGTCCTCCACTGCTGTCTGTGCAGAGCGCTGTTAGGACACACAGTGATTCAGCTTCAGTGGGACTGAAAGAGGAGAGTCTGAACTGAGACAAACTTCTCTTCATCTCCAGACTCACCTTATGAGACTTCACAGCTTCTCTCAGCTGCTGAAGATCTTTCTCTCTCTGCTGGGACGTCTTCTGCGTCTCTTTCAGCTGCTTCTGCAGGACAAATGGATGATAGTAAATATTACAGAAAACTACTGGCTCTAAATCATCATGTGAACAGATGAATCCAGTAAAAGTGGAACTGATAACCAATGGCTGTAGGTTCAAAGTCTAGAAAGGATGATTGATTGTTTACCACCATTGTACACGAATTAACATGGAGATATAACCGTGTTTCACATGACAAGTGTAAGCGCTAGTTTTAAATACCTGTTTCTCCGTCCTCTGTGCTGCAGCTGATACAGTGTCGTGGTTTTTATGCTCATATTTTGTACACAGCTCACAAATGCATTGTTGGTCAGTACAGTTCTCACAGTAACTGTGTCCACACTGGATGGTCACTGGATCCTTCAGGAGATCCAGACACACTGTACACGAGAGCTCACCCTGAGAAAATCTTGCTTCTGCCATTTTACTGCATGAATACAGAGACACACAACAGCTCAACTACACTTTCACTTTCTTTTTCCCTTAAGTCATGTGATTCCTGTTTCCCCGTAAGAGCCACCTAAAGGCGGAGTTCTCCCCCATTTTCCAAAATGAAATTCAGGCCCATAACACTCCTATTCTGCTGCTGATGGACTTTACAGGGAGATGAGTCACTATCTTATTGTGTATGAATGAGTAACTTGAGGGAGTGCAGTTCAAACCCCAGGACTCCTCATTATATCCAAACTTCAAGCACATCAATGGAGTCTCATTGTAGGGTTGAGTAGATTTGCTAAAAAAAAAAGCAGCTCAAAGACTACGATTAGACTGACCATTATTTATAACTTTAGAGCAGTTAGTGACACTAAAACAAGTCAAACAAACATGATGGAGTATATTATCAATCAGTTTCATCAGGATTTCAAACAAAAATGCAAGGTGCTACAAATAATGCAGTGTTTGATTTTGCATAAAATTGTGCAATCGCAGAATCAAGAAATCCTGAAGTGACTGAACAATGCTTCAGCGCATTGAAACCAAACAGAACCTGACCATGTCTTAAAGGTATAGTTCACCAAAAAATAAAAATTTTCTGTTAATTTACTCACCCTCAGGCCATCCAACATGTAGGTCTTTTTTTTTTCTTCAGTAGAGCAGTAAAGAAGATTTTTAGCTGAAAGAACATAAATGTCCATCTAACAGCTCAAGCACATCAATGGAGTCTCATTGTAGGGTTGAGTAGATTTGCTAAAAAAAAAAAAAGATCAAAGACTACGATTAGACTGACCATTATTTATAACTTTAGAGCAGTTAGTGACACTAAAACAAGTCAAACAAACATGATGGAGTATATTATCAATCAGTTTCATCAGGATTTCAAACAAAAATGCAAGGTGCTACAAATAATGCAGTGTTTGATTTTGCATAAAATTGTGCAATCGCAGAATCAAGAAATCCTGGAGTGACTGAACAATGCTTCAGCGCATTGAAACCAAACAGAACCTGACCATGTCTTAAAGGTATAGTTCACCAAAAAATAAAAATTTTCTATTAATTTACTCACCCTCAGGCCATCCAACATGTAGGTCTTTTTTTTTCTTCAGTAGAGCAGTAAAGAAGATTTTTAGCTGAAACCGTGGTCCTTAGTGATTCATAAAATGCAAGTCAGCGGCTTCCCATCTTTGAGAATACAAAAAAGCATATCTAGGAACATGAAATTAATACCTGTGAACTCATTCAGCGCTCCAGTTCCTCCAACAGTCACTGAACTGAAGAAACTGTTTGACTGAAGACCAATAAGCTGCTGATATGTGCATGCGTGAACCGAACACTTGAATGAAGGGAAGAAATGAATGTTTTTTATGTTTTCTCATTGTTTATGTAAAAAGGTGAGAGACTAGTTTATTCACTTTATATGCTCTAGACATAAGACATCCATGTTTCACATCATTATTGGGTGCTTTATTATTCTAATTATGTGTACATTACGTCATTGCGTGATTATGTAAATGAACTAGTGAAGTGAACCGGTTCATTGAAATGAACTGTCTGAGAGAACTGGATTTCCATGTTGCCTTAGGGTCTGGATTACCGGTAATAATGATCAGTTTCTTGTGCAGACAGATCGTTACACTTCATAAGACCTCAATATATTGTCAGGAGCCACGGGTATTAATTTTGTGTTTCCTGATTTGCTGTATCTTTATTCTCAAAAATGTGCAGCCACTGACTTGCATTATATCTGTCACAATCTCCAGCTGGAGTGCCCATGAGCTCCTTTAGAGGGCACTCCATCCTTTACCTTCACCTTCTCACCCCAGATCTCGGACCTTCACCTTCTCACCCAATCCCTGCTTTGTTGTCACATCGCCCGTAACAGAAGACTCAACCATGCCTGGATCCAGCAGCTTTTAGAGTGTTTCCAGGCCAATCATGGAGCCAGCAATCAGGTTAGTTTGCCTTCGTCAGGGAATGCATTCCTTCGAGGACCACATTCAAGACTTTCTGAGCCCAGAGCCTCCAGCTGTCATGGCTGTCACGCCACAGTCTTCAGCCCTCATGGCCAAACACATTTGGGGCTGATTTCCAGTTTGGAGGACCCACCGCTGGTTTCGGCTGGTTAAGCCATCCTGTGTGTTTGGGCTACACACTGCACTACTACTCCTCCTGAGCCTGGTCCAGTCCATGAATCCACTCCAGAACCTGCTCCAGTCTGTGGGTCTGGTCCGGAGCCCGCTCCAGTCTATGAGACTGCACCAGCTCCTCCCGAGGTGATGGCCTTTGCTGCAAAACCGCCCGAGTCTGTGGTGTCCACTTCAGCTCCTCTCTGGGCAGTGGCGCCCACTTCTGAACTCTCAACCTGTCCTGTCATGACCAAGGAGGCCATTCCTGAACTCTCAGCTTGTCTTGTCATGACCAAGGAGGCCATTCCAGAACTCTCTGCTTGCCCTGTTATGGCCAACGATGCCATCTCTGAACTGTCTGTCTGTCCTGTTACAGCCACAGAGGCCGTTGTTAACCTCTCTGTGCTCTCTATTGCAGTCCTGCCTGATCCGCCATGGTGATTTCCTGCACCATCAGCTCCACTGAAGTGGTCCTCAGCACCATCAGCTCCACCGTGGGGATCTTCGATCCCATCTGCTCAGCTGTGGTGGTCCTCATCGCCGCCCTGGTGCTCTTCAGCTCCACTAGCTCCGCCCTTTTGGTCTTCAGCTTCGTCTGCTCTGTCCTAGTGGTCTTCGGCTCGCCCTGCTGGCTCCGCCCTGTCTTCCTGCTCTGCCAGCTCCACCCTGGCTTCCTCCTCTGCCGGCTTCGCTCTGGCACCTTGCTCCACTGGCTCTGCCTCAGTCTCCAGGTCCTCCAATTCCTCAGGGACCTGGCCCTCCATCCCACCCCCTGTTCTGCCTCTGCTCCACCTCCCTCCTGGACTTCTATGACCCTTTGGGGAGCCTCTGGAAACCGCTCATTAAGAGGGGGGGGGGCCTCTGTCACGCTCTCCATCCCTTACCTTCACCTTCTCACCCCGGACTCCATTTCCCAGAAACCCCAGCCTAGGAACTAATTACGAATACACCTGTTTCCCATTAGGAGGTCTATTTAAGTTGCACTCTCAAACTCACACATTGCTGAGTCTTGTTTAGCTGTTAAGAGACATTTCTAAGCATTTCCTTGCCTTTGTGTTTTTGTCTTTGGATTGTTCCCTGGTTTGTGATTGTTTGCTGCCTGCCCTGACCAATGCTGTTATTTGGATTACTCTTTTGTTTTGCTCTTGGACATAGTTGTTTGACCCTGCCTGTTTCAACTACTCTCTTTAATAAAGCTTGCACTTGGATCCCTTATGCCGAGTTCATACTGCACGATTTTCAAATTCGTCGGATCGCCGTTTGTTTCACACTGCGTGACTATCTGGGGTAGCATTCAGTTGCTGCTGTGTTCACATTGCACGATGGATTGGCGACAGGAGGTTTCACATTGCATGACTTCACAATAGGAAGAATCGCCGACAGTTCTGTCTGGTGCAGGGTTGTGAGGTTTTCGCTACAAAACCCGCCAAATTACTACTCAAAACTAGCCTGAAAATAGCCCAATTGCTTTCGAGGGGGTCCCACAGTAAATTCGGGGGTTCACATTCGGGGGTAAAATAAAAATTTTTTTGGTGGGGTTCTCCTGGTACAATTCACATTCCAGGGCCTAAATATCACGTTATTGGGGTCGCTTCAACCTGCTGACATAAAAATCAACCGGCGGCAATCGCGGATTTGGCAACACTGGTCCGCAAACTACGTTTCACTCCTCCCCGAACTTCCCGCTGCCCTGTATCTTGGTCTCTCATTGGCTGTAGGTCATCGCCGATGTGTTTTTCAGTCAGAAATCATTGCACAGAGCGTGATTATCATTGCCAACAGCTCCAGATATTTAGCATGCCAAATATTTCGCGGGCGTCGGCGACGTTTCCCTTAGATCGCGTCTTTGATAAATCACACTGCGTGATTGTCACTCGCGTGAACGAGCACCGATTTGCCTCCGATTTTGGGCATTTGTCGGCGATTTCGCAAAACCTGTCGGCGAGTGAAAAATCGGGCTACAATTGTGCAGTGTGAACTCGGCATTACTCCGTTGTCATGCCGCCCAATCACTAAGGAACACAGTTTCAGTTAAAAACTAAATATTTGCGACACCTTGAATATTTGTCTCAAATCCTTGTGGGACTGATTGCTAATATATAGCTTTGAAGATATATACTTTGAAGATCACCTGATCCAATTTTTTAAAAGTTGAAAAGTTAGTGAAGTTTTGAACTGTTGGTGGCACTAGTGGTGTCCTGTCACAGCAGGATCTTGCTCAAGTCCACTATGATCCTATTCTTTTAGATCTCTGTTACCTGCAGGTATTGGATGTGATCCTGTGTGTGTGAAAGCTGTTCCAGCTCAGCGTCTCTCCTCCTCAGATCATTGATCTCCTGCTCTAGTCGCTCCAGTCGTCCTTCAGCTTGACTCACTTCAGCCTTTTCCTGATCTCTGATATCAGGAATCAGAAGCCGTACCAGCTCAGAGCAGCGTCTCTTAGTGGAGAAGATGAGCTCAGTAAAGATCCTCTCACTGTCCTCCACTGCTGTCTGTGCAGAGCGCTGTTAGGACACACAGTGATTCAGCTTCAGTGGGACTGAAAGAGGAGAGTCTGAACTGAGACAAACTTCTCTTCTTCTCCAGACTCACCTTATGAGACTCCACAGCCTCTCTCAGCTGCTGAAGATCTTTCTCTCTCTGCTGGGACATCTTCTGCGTCTCCTTCAGCTGCTTCTGCAGGACAAATGGATGATAGTAAATATTACAGAAAACTACTGGCTCTAAATCATCATGTGAAAAGATGAATCCAGTAAAAGTGGAACTGATAACCAATGGCTGTAGGTTCAAAGTCTAGAAAGGATGATTGATTGTTTACCACCATTGTACACAAATTAACATGGAGATATAAGCTTGTTTCACACCACAAGTGTAAGCGCTAGTTTTTTAAATACCTGTGTCTCTGTCCTCTGTGCTGCAGCTGATACAGTGTCATGTTTTTTATGCTCATATTTTGTACACAGCTCACAAATGCATTGTTGGTCAGTAATACAGAACATTTCCAGATGTTTCTCATGTTTCTGGCACATCATCTCCTGCAGTCGTCCAGTGGCATCAATCACTTTGTGTGGCTTACATGAATGAAACTCCTCATGACGGTCAAAATGAATTTGACAGTAAGATTCCTGACACACCAGACAGGACTTAACGGCTTTGTATTTTCTTCCAGAACAGACGTCACACTGCACATCTCCAGCTCCAGCGTAACAGTCAGCGGGAAGTTTAGTCTTCTTCAGTTTCTCCACCAGTTTAGTCAGCATGGTGTTTCTAGCTAAAGCAGGTCTTGGACTGAAGGTCTGTCTGCACTGAGGGCAGCTGTAGACTCTCATCTGACCCTCATGATCCCAGCGGTCTGTAATACAGTTCTCACAGTAACTGTGTCCACACTGGATGGTCACTGGATCCTTCAGGAGATCCAGACACACTGTACACGAGAGCTCACCCTGAGAAAATCTTGCTTCTGCCATTTTACTGCATGAATACAGAGACACACAACAGCTCAACTACACTTTCACTTTCTTTTTCCCTTAAGTCATGTGATTCCTGTTTCCTGGTATAGAAAAATACCCTAACTCCCCCATCAAATTAAAAACAATTCCCCCCCATAAGAGCCACCTAAAGGCGGAATTCTCCCCCATTTTCCAAAATGAAATTCAGGCCCATATGTCTGTCACTTTTGTTCTGACTGAGGTAAAAAAGCGTTACAATAAATCACGCTACCAATGGTGATTAAATCTAACGATCGCTTAGCTTATATCACATCAAACCATGCAAATTATTATTATTGTTATACTTTGTTTTCAAATTGTTAATGTTAACAACATCAGCATTGCGTGACAACATGTATATAGTGTGTATTAGCGTTACTTGTAGATTTCAATTTCTGTACAGTCTAATCTCTAATTGTCATACCATTCGAATTTCATATAAAGACATTGGTATTTTAACCCAAAAAGCAAATTTATGTTCCTTAGAACTGGTTCTCTTTGATCTTGTGTAATCCTGTGTATCTGGGATGCACATTTCAAACTGGAATATATCTGTGGCATGCTTGTATTTCCCGCAAAAACTTACCAGTACCACTCAAATTAGAAAGCATTATTACAAGCTAACCGTTGTGAATCGGGATAAGGTAAGGAGATCTGAAGGAGTTTTGAAACCTTGACTGGTTATGTACTTGCTCAAAAAGATTATATTAATTATTCCAGCTGCTGTGAGAAAAGGCTATAAATGATCCGTCATCTGCAGCATTCACACATGCAATATAGCTTACTGACTGGGACTCCTTTTTATGTTTACAGACGTGACGTAATGATGCAAAGATGAACAGTGGCATGCTTGTATTTACGGCAAAAACCTACCAGTACCACTCAAATTAGAAAGCATTATTACAAGCTAACCGTTGTGAATCGGGATAAGGTAAGGAGATCGTTTTGAAACCTTGACTGGTTATGTACTTGCTCAAAAATTGATTTTGGATCATTTTAACCAAAAAAAGTTACGGACTGCAGCTTTAAAATAAAGTGTAACCAAAAGTAACTGTGAGCATTTTAAAATATAATATACTCTAATTACAAGTACTTAATTTTTGGAATCCGATTGCAGATTAATCAGTTACTGCCCAGCACTGCTGATATATTAGCTGACCTGCCACTCCAGTGAAGCGACTACTGAACACACACACACACACACACACACACACACAAATAAAAATGCACAACAATAAAATCAGCGGCTCAGAAGAACACAAAACACTGAAAAGTGTTGGAGAAACATGAAGTGAATAATGAAAATTATTTATTGACTGATCATTTGAATTGAAAGGTAATTTTGATAGTAATAATAAAAATAACTGATGTGACTCTACATTAAAAACTAAATGACTGATTTCAATCAACACAAACAGAGGCTGAGAAAAGTACAGAAACACATCGTCACTCAGCAGGACTCACACACACACTGATCTTACTGTCTATATGAGGATTTAATACACACATTTATACTGATTCATGTCATTTTAGTGACAGAAGTTCAGCTGCAGTATTAATGTCATGAAGAGAAAAGAAGAGACTCTATAATATCTCACTGTTATTGATTTATCATGCAGCTCAAAGTATTATGGGTAAAATCTCTCGTCAGTCTATTCTGATTCATCAACACAGTTTCACTGATGATCCTTTATAAACACCAAACCCAGCATAGAGCGGCTGAGTGAATGTGGTCTGGACTGTGTGGATGAGGCTCATTGTGTCAGAGACGCTGTAGAAGGACAGAGTGCCTGCACTGTGATCCACAAACACTCCTATTCTGCTGCTGATGGACTTTACAGGGAGATCAGTCCGTATGTTATTGTGTGTGAATGAGTAACTTGAAGGAGAGCAGTCCAAATTCCAGGACTGATCATTACATCCAAACAAACATTCATTGCTCCGACCCTTCCTGCTGATGCTTTTATATAACACTGATATATACACACCATTATTCCCACTCCACTGCAGCTCCCAGTAACAGCGTCCACATACACTCTCTCTACACAACACCTGATACCAATAATCAAATCTGTCTGGATGATCAGGATACGACTGGACTGTTCTACTGCCAGTAATCACTCTGTTGCTCTCAGACAGATGGAGGCGTTTATATGCTGTGTTTGGATCCAGAGTGAGCTGATGGGAATCTGATGGAGATAAAACACATCAGAATCAGGAATTATGAATCTGTTAGAACTTCATGTTCAGTGTATCATCAGTGTCTCAGTACAGATGACCAGATATCTTGTGCAAATCATCATTTACATCATCAATAGGGCCTTTCGCACCGCTTTAGTTCCAGAACTAAATGTACAGTACTAAAGTACTGGGACGATTTTGCGCAAACTACTTCCCAGTACCATTTAAAGGTTGCACAAAAGGGTTGCACAATAATAGACATGGAAAGTCGACGTATACGTAAAGCGATTAAAAGAATGGAAAGGAAGACTAAGAATCTCCAAGGACAACTGGCAGTGCTACATTTGCTACAAGTGCCTGCACTTCAGCGTCCGTCCATCTATCGCTGTTCTCCATACTTGCGAAATAAGTTGACACAACGTTTACAGTATGTTTACACAGCGTTTTAAATCATGGCGGGTGAGGGCGTTTCCATACGCGTTTGGCCAATCAATGTCTACTTACGTCACGATTAGTACCAGTTGTGCTGATTAGACCCTTCTCCGCAGTAGGAGCTAATTTGCTTCTCGAAAAAGGCAGTCCGGAACTAAAATCACACCCAGTTCCGGCGGTGCGAAAACGCCAAAAAGTGGGTAGTTCCACAATTAGTTCTGGTACTATGAAAAGGTTCCCGAGGTGCGAAAGGCCCTAATTATAAAACTCTTCTTTCAGCTTCAACAGGAAGAACATGAACACACTCAGTGAGTTTTTCTGCTTGTTTTCTTACTGACTTACATTGTAGGAAGTCGTTCCTGGTCCTGGGAACAATGTTGGTGAATGTGACTGTGGAAATCAACAGACATGAACAGTGTGCTTCTCATGATCCTGCATCCATTCCTAAGACATTTCTAATATGATGTTCTCCATGATATGAGATGATGATGGACTCGTTTCTGAGAGCAGATGAATCTCCAGAACTTTACCTCTCTCTGAGATCTTCTCGAGCTCCTCTTTGCAGAAATCCTCCAGTTTGTCTCTCAGCTGATGGACATATTCTCTCAGGTCATCAGAAGAGAAGAGAGAAATGAAGAGATCGTCATTTATGTCTGTAGATTCAGGAGGTGCTGAGAGAGACTGGATACTCTACAGAAAACAGAAATCAAAACTCATCAGCTTCACACTTCACCCAATAACCTAAACGAACATCAGATTTGTATGGCTCTTGTTGACTTGACTGATCTTTAGTAACTCACCTCAATCCAGTACTTTCACAGCATCAGCTTCATTCTTTTCATATTCATTATATCACATTAGAGCTACAGATTCTAGTAATTGACTTTCTAGGAAATAGTTTGGATGAAAAAACATCTGCTAAGAACACAAATCTATCTATAGCGTCTCATTGCAGGGTTGAGTAGATTTGCTAAAAAAAGAAGCAGCTCAAAGGCTACCATTAGATTGACCATTATTTATAACTTTAGAGCAGATAGTGACACTGAAACTACACACACATGACTCTGTATATTAGCAATCAGTCTCATCATGATTTCAAACAAAAATGCAAGGTGCCGCAAATAATGCAGTGTTCACCCAAAAATGAACATTTTCTGTTAATTTACTCACCCTCAGGCCATCCAAGATGTAGGTGACTTTTTTTCTTCAGTAGAGCAATAAAGAAGATTTTTAGCTGAAACCATGGCCCTTAGTGATTCATAAAATCAAAAATCGTGTTTGGTCTCGTACTGTATCGCATACCTTGTCAGTGTCGTGCGCTTTGCTTGGCCATTTGTTGTGATAAACAGTTAAGTGTGTCCAGCTGAATTCAATTTGAGTTTTGTTAGACGAATATAAAAAGGTTTGTATACCACGGCAGCCCTTGTGTGAAGCCCTCCTCGTGTGAAGACCGAAGAGTGTAAAGACCATCGAGAGGATATGACCGATTCATTGGTATACTCAGTCACAGTCTTTTTCACGAGAGTTTGGTTTGACAAGGGTATTTGACGGACTTTGTACTTGCAACAGTCTCTTTAACCTGACTTGGTAAAGTCTCAGTCAGTGCATTTTCAAAAGTTGGTGTGGTAGAGCGGGGTTGAAATGAGTGAGGGCTTCAGACTGTACTAAGGCTTTCACCTCCACAAAAGATTCCTCATATTGCTTAGTCCATTCCCATTTTTTTTATTTTATTTAGTAGTTTGTGCAACGGTTTCAGCCTGTTAGCTAGATTTGGCACAAATTTTGCGTAATAAAATCGTGAAATCACATTTGGTCTCGTACTGTATCGCGTACCTTGTCAGTGTTGTGCGCTTTGCTTGGCCATTTGTTGTGATAAACAGGAAAGTGTATTCAAGCGCCAGCAAAACAGTGTAAAGAAATACACTTTGTGAGAAGCAATCAATCAGCAGAAGTTTAAAGCAGCTTGTAAGTGTATTTATTTCTTGTCTCAGTGTTTAGCGCAGTTGTCGTTGCTAGGAAATGCTTGTTTTGTTTACTGTGGAGACGTGCTGAAATCGCGTTTGGTCTCGTACTCTATCGCGTACCTTGTCAGTGTCGTGCGCTTTGCTTGGCCATTTGTTGTGATAAACAGTTAAGTGTGTCCAGCTGAATTCAATTTGAGTTTTGTTAGACGGATATAAAAAGGTTTGTATACCGCGGCAGCCCTTGTGTGAAGCCCTCCTCGTGTGAAGACCGAAGAGTGTAAAGACCATCGACTCTACCGTTCGACTCCACCGAGCAGGGACACTGGCAAGGCACATAAGTATCACTTTTGAATCATTCTCTTTTCTACAAATTGTTTCACTTCAGTTTTCAGTTTTTATAACCAAATCTTACTATGTGTTTCCAGATCCCTACTATCACTACCACTCGCAAACCATGCATCACACACTGTAGGCAGCGCAATCCTAACAACCTGAGCACTTTGCCTATGTCTACTAATACAGTACTTTCTTTTTCTATTGGTCTCTGGAATTGCCAGTCTGCTGTAAACAAAGCAGATGTTATTACTTCTATTACAAGTAATTTGAGACTAAACCTCATGGCCCTGACAGAGACGTGGATCAAACCAGAGGACAATGCTACACCTGCAGCAATCTCTAATCATTTTTCTTTTTCCCACTCCCCCCATCTGACTGGAAGAGGTGGAGGTACTGGTCTGCTTATCTCTAATGATTGGAAATTTAATCCTTTACTATCTCTGAGTATCAACAACTCCTTTGAATCACATTCAGCCACTATTACCCACCCTCTTAAAATACATTTTATAGTTGTTTATCGACCCCCAGGACCACTAGATAACTTTGTGGAAGAATTAGATGTACTGCTCTCCTGAGGATGGTACTCCCCTAGTTGCTTGGAGACTTCAACATCCACCCAGATAAACCTCAGGCTGCAGACTTCCACACTCTGCTTGCCTCTTTTGATCTCAAGCGAGTGTTAACAACAGCTACTCACAAATCAGGCAACCAACTGGACCTTTTATACACACGACACTGCTCCACTGATCATGTGCTCGTTACTCCACTGCACACCTTGGATCACTTCCTCCTCACTCTTAACCTCAACATAGTTCCTCACACAACACATACCCCTCCACATGTCATCTTTTGATGTAACCTAAGCTCACTCTCATCCTCCCGGCTATCTACTATGGTTTCATCTTCGCTTCCTTCCCCTGAACAGTTAATATCTCTTGATGTTAACAGTGCTACTGATACTTTCTGCTCCACTCTTACGTCTTGTTTAGACACTGTCTGCCAGGCCAGCTCGTACCACCTCTTCTGCCCCTTGGCTATCTGATGGTTTCCGTGAGCATCGTTCTAAGATCAGAGCTTCAGAAAGAGTATGGCGCAAATCACAAAATATTACTGAGCTTAATGTATATCGATCACTCCTCTCTTCATTCTTTGCTAATGTATCTACTGCTAAAAGGACATACTATCACAACAAAATTAACAATTCACCTAACTCTCGCATGCTCTTTAAAACATTTTCCTCCCTCCTTTGTCCTCCTCCTCTTCCTCCTTCATCAACTCTAACAGCTGACGACTTTGCAACATTCTTCATTAATAAAATTACAAACCTCAGTGCACAATTTACCACACCTCAAACTGTCAAACACATCTTACCAGCAAACATACACTTGCTTTCATCCTTCTCTCCACTCTCTGATGCAGAAGTCTCTAAACTCATCCTTTCCAATCATCCTACTAGTTGTCCGCTTGATCCTATTCCATCTCATCTCCTTCAAGCCATTTCTCCTGCCATTGTACCTGCACTCACTCACATCGTTAACACATACCGTCACACTGGTGTTTTTCCCTCAACATTTAAACAGGCTCGTATAACCCCACTTCTTAAGAAACCCACTCTTAACCCAACTCTTTTAGAGAACTACAGACCGATTTCCCTTCTACCTTTCATTGCAAAAACATTTGAACGAGTTGTGCTCAACCAAGTCTCAGCCTTTCTCACACAGAACAACCTCCTGGACAGCAACCAATCTGGCTTCAGAAGTGGACATTCGACCGAGACTGCCTTGCTTTCAGTTGTTGAAGCCCTATGACTGGCAAGAGCGGCTTCCAAAATGTCTATACTTATCTTGCTGGATCTGTCTGCTGCTTTTGATACGGTGAACCACCAGATTCTCCTGTCAACCCTATTGGAAAATGGCATCTCAGGAACTGCACGCCAGTGGTTTGAGTCTTACCTCTCAGATAGGTCCTTCAAGGTATCTTGGAGAGGTGAGGTGTCCAAGTCGCAGCATCTAGCTACTGGGGTGCCTCAGGGTTCAGTTCTTGGACCACTTCTCTTCTCTGTCTACATGGCATCTCTAGATTCTGTCATTCAGAAACATGGCTTTTCATATCATTGCTATGCTGATGACACTCAACTCTATCTCTCATTCCATCCTGATGATCCAACGATAGCTGCTCGCATCTCAGAATGTCCAACAGACATTTCTTGTTGGATGACGGACCATCACCTTCAACTCAACCTGGCTAAGACAGAACTGCTTGTGGTTTCAACAAACCCATCACTTAATCAACATTTCACCATCCAGTTATGCTCATCAACCATAACTCTTTCAAAAACAGCTTGAAACCTTAGAGTTATGATTGATGATATGCTGAATTTCTCAGACCATATTGCTGAAACTGTCCGGTCCTGCAGGTTTGCTTTATACAACATTAGGAAGATCAGGCCCTTTCTTTCAGAACATGCAACACGACTCCTTGTTCAAGCTCTTGTTCTGTCCAGGCTGGACTATTGCAATGCTCTCTTGGCAGGTCTTCCTGCCACTTCTATCAAACCTCTACAATTAATCCAAAATGCTGCTGCAAGATTCATCTTTAATGAGCCAAAAAGAACGCATGTCACACCTCTGTTCATCAATTTGCACTGGCTACCAGTAGCTGCTCGCATAAAATTCAAGGCATTAATGTTTGCCTACAAAACCACCACTGGCTCTGCACCCATTTACCTAAATTCATTTCTTCAGAGTTATGTACCCTGTGAACGACGCATTATTGTGCCATCTCAAAGAGGCACAAAATCACTTTTACATTAACTGTTCCATCCTGGTGGAATGACCTTCCCAACTCAATCCGAGCAATCGAGTCCTTAGCCATCTTCAAGAAACGACTTAAAACACATCTGTTCCATCTTTATTTGACCCTCTAACTCTAGCACTTTCTATTCTATTTTAAGTCTACTTTATCTATTTATCTTTTTTTTTTAACTAGCTCTATTTTTTCTATCTACTTGTTTTTCTTTGTGTGTGTGCGTATATATGTGTGTATTATATATATATACCTTGCTACGTGCATTGCGTTAGGCTAACCGAGACTTGTCATTTGCACTTATATATTGTTGCTCTTTTGTTAGTTTTGACTGCTTTTATTGTCCTCATTTGTAAGTCGCTTTGCATAAAAGCGTCTGCTAAATGACTAAATGTAAATGTAAATAAAACGCAAGTCAGAATATCAAGGAAGACAAAATTAATACCTGTGAACCCATTCAGCGCTCCAGTTCCTCCAACAGTCACTGAACACTGAATATTATTTGCAACATCTGTAATCCAGAGCCTCAGGCAAACACTCCAGAGTGATGTCTGGTTTGCGAACAAATCATTATTTTGAACTGGTTCTTTTTTGTGAACTATTTGCACCAGTTCACCATATCGGACTGAAATGCTACTCAATCAAAACTCAACTGCATACACCTGACAGTCACTCAGACCTGAAATGAGCCAAAATAGAGACGTATCTGATCCTATGATGAATGAACTCATTCAGCGCTCCAGTTCCTCCAACAGTCACTGAACTGAGGAAACATTTTGACTGAAGACCGAAGAGCCAATGATATGTGCATGCGTGAACCGAACACTTGAATGTAGGAAAGAAATTAATGTTTTTTTTTATGGTTTCTCATTGTTCATGTGAAAAGGTGAGAGACTAGTTTATTCACTTTATATGCTTTAGACATGTAAAACGTCCACGTTTCACATAATTATTGGCTGCTTTAATATTCTAATTGTGTATACATTACTTCATTGCAGAAATATGTAAATTAACTCATGAATTGAACCAGTTCATTGAAACGAACTGTCTGAAAGAATTGGATTTCCATGTTGCCTGAGGGTCTGGATTACCAGTAATAATGTTGTAAATAATGTTCAGTTTCTTGTACAGACAGATCGTTTTGCTTCATAAGACCACAATATATTGTCAGTTGCTACGGGTATTATTGTGTTTCCTGATTTGCTTTATTTTTATTCTCAAAAACATGCAGTTGCTGACTTACATTATATCTGTCACGATCCCAAAGGTTGCGGGTTCGAGTCTCATACCAGCAGGGATTGTAGGTGGGGGGAGTGAATGTACAGTGCTCTCTCACCTTCAATACCACGACTGAGGTGACCTTGAGCAAGGCACCAAACCCCCAACTGTGTGTGTTCACGGTGTGTGTGTTCACTGCTGTGTGTGTGCGCACTTTGGATGGGATAAATGCAGAGCACTAATTCCAAGTACGGGTCACCATACTTGGCCACATGTCACTTCACTCACTCCCTTCACCCTGGATCTCAGACCTTCACCTTCTCACCCAATCCCTACTCCGTTGTCACATTGCCCCCGTAACAGAAAACCATGCCTGGATCCAGCAGCTTTTTGAGTGTTTCCAGGCCAATCATGGACATCTGGGAATGCGTTCCCTCAAGGGCCACATTCAAGACTTTCTCTTGTTCAAGAGATCTCCCTGATCTCCCGAATCTGTGCACTCATTGACTTTGTCTGTCGTGGACTTCATGAACCATTGAAGATGACACTCATTCGTGATGGTCCTTGAGGATCGCTTTGTCAGTTTCTGGATTATGCCCGGCTGTTATGTGGTTCCTCCTTCACTGTCGGGCTTTTGAGGAGGATGTGTCTCCTAAAAATCTTTTTTTTTAGTAGGGAACTGCTGGGGGCAGGACACAACAAACTTGCCAATCCTGTGTTATCTGCACTTTGCACCTGAGCCAGTTCACAATATGGCTGCCGCACCTGAGCTCCAGTCCATGAGTCTGCTCCAGCTCCTCCTGAGGTGACAGCCTCCCGAGCCTCCCAAAACCTCCCGAGCCTGTAGTGTCTACTTCAGCTCCTCTCTGGGCAGTGGTGCCCACTTCTGAACTCTCAACCTGTTCTGTCACGACCAAGGAGGCCGTTCCTGAACTCTCAACCTGTCCTGTCATGACCAAGGAGAACATTCCAGAACTCTCTGCTTGCCCTGTTATGGCCAATGATGCCATCTCTGAACTGTCTGTCTGTCCTGTTACAGCCACAGAGGCCGTTGTTAACATCTCTGTACTCTCTATTGCAGTCCCGCCTGATCCGCAGTGGTGTCTTCTGCACAATCAGCTCCACTAAAGTGGTCCTCAGCACCATCAGCTCCACCATGGGGATCTTCGGTCCCGTCTGCTCAGCTGTGGTGGTCCTCAGCTCCACCCTGGTGCTCTTCAGGTCCACCAGCTCCGCGCTTTTGGTCTTCAGCTTCGCCTGCTCTGTCCTGGTGGTCTTCAACTTGCCTTCCTCTGCCCTGACTTCCTGCTCCACTGGCTCTGCCTCAGTCTCCAGGTCCTGCAATTCCACAGGGAACTGACCCTCCATCCCTCCCCCTGTTCTGCCTCCGCTCCGCCTTCCTCCTGGACTTCTATGACCCTTTGGAGAGCATCTGAAAACCACTCATTAAGGTGGGGCGGCTCCCATCCCTTACCTTCACCTTCTCACCCCGGACTCCATTTCCCAGAAACCCCAGCCTAGGAACTGATTACGGACACACCTGTTTCCCATTAGGAGGACTATTTAAGTTGCACTCTCACACATTGCTGAGTCTTGTTTAGCTGTTAAGAGACATTTCTAAGCATTTCCTTGTTTCCTTGCCTTTGTGTTTTTGTTTTTGGATTATTCCCTGGTTTGTGATCATTTGCTGCCTGCTCTGACCAATGCTGTTATTTGGATTACTCTTTTGTTTTGCCCTGGGACATAGTTGTTTGCTGGTGTTTGACCCTGCCTGTTTCAACTGCTCTCTTTAATAAAGCTTGCACTTGGATCCCTTACTCCATTGACATGTCGCCCAATCACTAAGGAACACAGTTTCAGTTAAAAACTAATAATTTGCGACACCTTGAATTTTTGTCTCAAATCCTTGTGGGACTGATTGCTAATATACAGCTTTAAAGATATATACTTTGAAGATCACCTGATCCAATTTATAAAAAGTTGAAAAGTTAGTGAAGCTTTGAACTGTTGGTGGCACTAGTGGTGTCCTGTCACAGCAGGATCTTGCTCAAGTCCACTATGATCCTATTCTTTTAGATCACTGTTACCTGCAGGTACTGGATGTGATCCTGTGTGTGTGAAAGCTGTTCCAGCTCAGTGTCTCTCCTCCTCAGATCATTGATCTCCTGCTCCAGTCGTCCTTCAGCTTGACTCATTGCAGCCTTTTCCTGATCTCTGATATCAGGAATCAGGAGCCGTACCAGCTCAGAGCAGCTGCTCTCAATGGAGCGGATGAGCTCAGTAAAGATCCTCTCATTGTCCTCCACTGCTGTCTGTGCAGAGCGCTGTTAAGACACACAGTGATTCAGCTTCAGTGGGACTGAACTGAGACTGAGACAAACTTCTCTTCTTCTCCAGACTCACCTTATGAGACTCCACAGCCTCTCTCAGCTGCTGGAGATCTTTCTCTCTCTGCTGGGACGTCTTCTGCGTCTCCTTCAGCTGCTTCTGCAGGACAAATGGATGACAGTAAATATTACAGAAAACTACTTGCTCTAAATCATCATGTGAACAGATGAATCCAGTAAAACTGGAACTGATAACCAATGGCTTTAGGTTCAAAGTCCAGAAAGGATGATTGATTGTTTACCACCATTGTACACAAATTAACATGGAGATATAAGCGTGTTTTACACCACAAGTGTAAGCGCTAGTTTTAAATACCTGTTTCTCTGTCCTCTGTGCTGCAGCTGATACAGTCTCGTGGTTTTTATGCTCATATTTTGTACACAGCTCACAAATGCATTGTTGGTCAGTGATACAGTACATTTCCAGATGTTTCTCATGTTTCTGGCAGATCATCTCCTGCAGTCGTCCAGTGGCATCAATCACTTTGTGTGGTTTACGTGAATGAAACTCCTCATGACCGTCAAAATGAGTTTGACAGTAAGATTCCTGACACACCAGACAGGACTTGATGGCTTTGTATTTTCTTCCAGTACAGACTTCACACTGCACATCTCCAGCTCCAGCATAACAGTCAGCGGGAAGTTTAGTCTTCTTCAGTTTCTCCACCAGATCAGCCAGCATGGTGTTTGTAGCTAAAGCAGGTCTTGGACTGAAGGTCTGTCTGCACTGAGGGCAGCTGTAGACTCTCATCTGAT